CCCCTGCCGCCGCACACGTTCATAGACTAGACACCGGTTTACCTGTTCTGCTCCCATCATGTGTACCGTCGGTGTCGTATCCAACCCCTTGAGTTATACTATTTCGAGTCAGGGTAAGTTCTAGTTTGGGCATTGAAGCGCTCACCAATCGTTCTTCAAAGTTTGGTCTGTAATGTAACAGCCGTTTTCTGTCTGCCCTATCTCTTTTAATCTGCAGAGGTGGTGTGGCCTATGATCCTTGGTAGCAGTGTGTAGGCATGATGTTCCTCATCCACCCTTTACAAGTGCGTGTAGTGGTATCCTATTCAGTCGTGGCAGTCATTCCTGTTCATGTAAGTGTCTCATGCGCATCTATGGGGTCGTCTGCTTATCTTGTCTAGTTGTGTCCCTTTATCTTCCCCTTTTGCACGGATGGGGCATGGGACATGTCGCCAGTACCTGCTACCTCTAGGGGACCAATATTAGATATGTCTTGTGTGAAGGTAGGCCACGAGACCCGTGTCTTCGTTCAGCCCCGACTCCCCGCCGACACCCCCCTACCGCTGTGCGCGGAAGGTGAACCACAGAGCCCAAAGTTCTGCACATCTCATACCCCTGCCTGTCTGTCCAGCCTGCAGGGCTTCAGCTGCTCTGATGTCTTCCACTCGGTGGATCCATTCCTCCCGGGTGGGAATGTCTACTTTCTTCCAGTATACAGGTACGAGTGCTTTTGCAGCGTTTAGTAGATGACGTAGGATGGACTTTTTATATGCGGATAATAAATGCTGTGAGATGTGTAATAAAATTAATTCCTTTGACCAAGCTACGTCGTCCCCCAAAATCGATTGAATGTCGGCTTTGATCTGGTCCCAGTATGGGATGATATGCGAACACTCCCACCATATGTGTAGAAGAGTCCCCCTCTCGTCCTGGCACCTCCAGCACGTTGGTGTGGCATCGGGAAATATTTGGTGGAGCAGTGCTGGGGTTCTGTACCACATGGAAAGTATCTTATAGTTCACCTCTTGATAGTGGGAGCTAGAGGAGCTCTTGTGTTGCCAAATCAAGGCTTTGTCCCATTGCATGGCAGTGAATATTGTTCCCCTGGCTCATTCCCAGCGGTGTTTGAAGGTGTCGTTTTCCGAGTTCGGATTGGTTAGTAAGTATTGGTAAAGGTGCGAGATGGCTTTTCCGAGTGATGCGACACGATGACAGAGGACCTCAAACCACGTCAGGTCTCTGTGCAATTTTTCCCGATGTGGGAGGGAGTTATAGTAGTGTTGTAGTTGCATATATCTAAAGGTCGCCATTGGAGATCGTGGTCGCGTCTCTAGCAGTGCATCTAAAGTCTTCAGATTGCCGTCCTGTGTGACCTTGTATATTGGTATATAATCTGTATCGCCTAGGAATGTCCAGGCTTCAGTTGGCGTTCCGCCCCCAATATTGGTATTGTGTGGGATCGGGAGCAGGGGACAAGGGGATGGGGAAACCTGTGGCAGTTCCCTAATGTTTTCCCAGGAGAGTAGCGTTTGTGCTACGGGTCCTTCCTCATTTCTTCTGCTGCCTCTGGTTGTTCGTCACATCCAAACCACCGCTTTTAATTTTGCCGTATCTCCCCCTCGATCCAGTGCGACCCATTGCTTGGTGGTGTCCAGTTCATGCCACTCTAGGATTCGTTGTAACGTCGCCGCTTGGTGGTATTTCTTAAAATCTGGTAAAGCCAGGCCTCCCCTATGTCTAGGCATACACAGTGTGTCATGTTGCAGCCTGGATCGGTCCCCTCTCCAAACATATTTTATGACTGCCGATTTCAGTGCCGAAAAGAATGACGTCGGTAGGGCCGTTGGTATAGTCTGAAACAGGTAGAGAATTCTAGGGAGGATATTCATTTTAAGGACCGCGATGCGGCCGTGCCAGGTGATGTGTGGGTAGGACCACCGTGTCAGGTCTGTTTCAATGTTTCGTAGTAATGTCGCGAAGTTACGCTGGTAGATGTCTTGGGGATTCGTGGGGATCCATATGCCGAGATATTTCATAGCCCCTGTGCACCAACGAAACGGAAAAAGCGGACTAAGAGTATTATATTCCTCCGCAGGTATGGTGACGTTCAATGCTTCACATTTCGCTAAGTTAAGTTTAAACCCAGACAGTGGCGTCTCTAGGATTCATTTTTCGGGGGGGCACATGGAGGGCCAGTGACAAACGTAGGGGGGCACATTTAACCCCGCCCTCGTTGCAGTTTGACCCCGCCCCGTCGCATGTTAAGCCACGCCCCCGACACAATGTGTTTTGTTTTTTTAATAATACCTGGTGGAGGATTCATTATTTTCCACCAGGGATTATTAAAAAAACAAACACATTACCCTTGATACAGTGCCATAGTTGCCAACATTAGAAAAAAAAATTCCAAGGACATTTTGCAGCACAGGTATCAATTACTGTCTGTGTATAATATTCCTGGACAGTCAGTGCTCTCTGTATAATACAGGGTTGTGTGTATAATATCCCAAGACAGAGAGCAGCACTATACAGGAAGCACTGACTATCCTGGGATATTATATACACACAGATCTGTATTATACAGATAGCTGAGCATATACCCCATGTCCCAATCTCTAGACTACTAGTACCTGTCAACAGCAGCTCCCAGACGCTGTAACAGGGCTAAAGTGTGCGGCAGCTCACACAGATTATTCAGCGGTAAAGTGCACTCGCTGACAGAGCCAAACTGGGAATCCCTGGGAATCCAAAGCAGCCCTGGAAAAAAAAAGTATGCCATTCCTACAAGTCAAAATATGTAATATATATATATATATATATATATATATATATATATATATTACAGTAAGCACACAAGCTCACTGACATGCGCAAATAGGCTTACTGACAGACAAAACTCTCTGACTCACACACAAGCTTACTACAGACAAACTCACTTGTATAAACAGAAGGCTCACTACAAAGAAGTTCAGGGACATACACAAGCTCACTAAAGACAAGCTCACTGACACACACATGCTCACTAAATAGAAGCCCACTGACACACACAAGCAGTACCATTTTAACAGAGTTAAGGGCCCCTGGGCAAAGCAATGGAATTTTAATTATTGATAGACTGCTGAGTCCATACACACACAGATTGCTGAGTCCATACACACACACACACACACACACACAGATTGCTGAGTCCATACACACAGACTCTGCTGAGTCCATACACACACACAGACTCTGCTGAGTCTACACACAC